CTTTTCGGGCTGTGCCCGGCCGGGCCCCATGGGTGAAGGCCCGGCCACCAGGCGCTCGCCATGGTGCCCCGCCCCTGGGCCTGGCTCCAGAGGGGGGCCCCGGTGACCCGCGCCCGGGCGAGGGAACGTTGAGTCCAATTTTCTTGATCATCATAGGGGTCTTCTTGGCTGCGCTTCGTCTGATCCCTCACCTAGGACCTGTTTGCCTTGGGTGACCCTACCAGGTGTCTTATCTAATGTAAGTCCAGTCTCTCTGAGCAATCTTTCTCTGAGCCCATTGCCGACTGTGCCACAAACAATCCTGTCTCTCACAAGTGAATCTCTCAGAGTCTCAAATTCACACGTTTTGCTCAGTGTTAGAAGCTCCGCTAAGTACTGATCAAAAGGTATTCCTTGTTTTTGGTCATGAGTGAAAAACTTGTACCTTTCAAAGGTCACGTTCTGACTAGGCACAAAATATTAGCTTCATCTAGCTGGAAGCTATTATAAATGTCCAGAGCATCCTCTCCCATCACATGTAAAAGGATATGTGCTTTCAGTTTTTCATTATCACCTCCTGCTCCACTTGCTGCCAGGTATATATTAAATCTTTGCTTGAAACGTTTCCAGTTATCAGCCAGATTACCCGTCAGTTGCATTGAAGTGGGTGGACTTAGCCTATCCATGACTGTACGTCGGGGTACCAGAACTTCCACAGCTCTCTCTTGGTGCTGGTTGTCCTCTGATTCAGGCACAAGATCCTCTTCTACTTGTTCGATCTGTCCTTCGTCCCCTCTTTCGCTTCTCTCACCGTTCGCCGCCATAACGCGCCATTTCCCGCGTTAGCTTGTTTCTTTGTTAGCATGTCCCGTTCCGCGACCGAAGACTTCTTTTCTTTTCTTCGTCTTTTTTTTTTCCGTTCCGTGGCTCTCCCGTGGCAAATATCCAACTGTGCTTGCTCAGGACCACTTCTGACACCATGTGTTGTTCTTCTTATTTATAATAACTTGCGGAAACGTGATCCTTATTAAGGCGACTTTATTGACGAACTCCAGCGTAACTCTCTGACACCGCGTTCTCCTTCCAACCGCTAGACGGCTCTCGCGGGCTCACCACACACGCAGCTGAACCCTCTTGCATGCTGGGCATTGGAGTTCTAGAGCTAACATGCTCATAACACCACATTCATATTTTTATATTGTATATAAATATGGATCCCTAGTTACTTTTTATTGACAGTGGAAATGATATATTATTATATTATTGTGAAAATAAAGCTTTATTAAACTGTATTATGTTGTTTTGATTGTTTTTTAGAGTGAAAGTACCCTACATTGTTTTTCTCTCATCAAGTTAATAAATGCAATATGAAGGAAAGTGATGCCAGTTTTCCAATAATTAAATGAGTAAGAAATTATTTGGACAAAAATAAGGTTTTTGCATCTTAAATTATTGTCCTTTGTCTTGCTATGGCTGTATAAAGTGGAAAATATATAGTAGATCAGGTTCAGTGGCCACTAAAGGTCAAAATTGCATTTCCGTGTTGATTCCAGCAGTTTTTGCATAAAAAACCTTTTCTAATAATCAACCGTGATGATTTTAAAGTATATTGGCAAAGATCACTTGGTTAAAACCAGAAATATGGAGATTTTCTTAGTTTTAGCCACCTATTGGCCAGATGTGGAACTATCGAAATTTTAATTGGCTGTAATTAATTAATGTGCAAGTGAAAACGTGGGAACATTGGCTTTTTGAGATCACTGAAGTCCAAAGTATCTAATTAAACTGGAGCAAAGTTTCCCCTAAAAAGTTCCAACGAAAAGTCATCGTACAGATTCTGGCCCACGGCCTAAAACATCTTTACTCCACATCTGCTTTGGTAGAGACCATCTGCCTTAAAACCATGTCTGCTGCCCAGAAAAAAATGAAATTGTAAATCAAACTAAAGGAGTATGTCACCACACACCTGACAAACATTTGTTTAGACTAAACAGCCTGCGAAATCCCATCTCTTTGGTTAAGGGGCCACGAATAAACACTTCAGCATCCACACTCTTGAATAGCTTCTTATGTTTAAACCTAAGAATGTTGATTCAAAATTTCAGTAGAACCCGGGAGTAATAGAACACTCTTTGTATTTGGACGCGCAGACAGAATTTGCACAATATTGTCTATCACATCCTTGGAAAAATATAGTTTTTTGGGGAAATTTCCCATACACATGTCTAACATGACTGAATATCAGAGTCTCAGATTCAGGGAATTTCCAACTTTCCAAGTTAATTTTCCAGTTTACTTTGCTGTGTGACAAGAGGTCCAAGTCATCAGATGGAAATCCAGAGTTCAGTAGTAGATGTTCTGTTGTTGTACTGTATGTTTGTTTGAAGAGGACACGGTTTCTTTTTTGGTTTTCTATTGATAGCTGTCCAAGTCTGTGTCCTGCTAAAAATGTGTTTTGAGGAAGACATCTAAAATGCTTCTCTAAAATAATTAAACATTTAATAATTTAAAAGCAGCTAATAAAAAAAAGCAGCAGGACCTACCAGAGACACGTCTGCACTCTTTAAAAGCAGGCAGAGCTCTCATGATGGACCTGCATTCAGTACCGGCATCTAATTGAATGCTTACAAACCATAGAGTTGGTACAAGTGAAAAAGGTCTCCACAACCCAATGTTATGCGGTTGACAAAAGTAAAAACTTTTGTTTCCAAGAACTACTTTGTAACAGTGATTAGCTTGTTCATTTAGGCAATTTTCAATTACTGTGAGTGATTACTGTTAGAGTGAGCCTCTCCTTAACCCTGTAATGCCAAATGTATCATATTTGATTCATTCGGTTTCTGAAATATTTTGCGTCTGACACCTTTTGCATAATTTAATGGTAAAAATCCTATTGTACACGATCATATACACCTGAAAACAGGGGGCAGAAGACTACACAAAAAATAATCTTGACTTATCGCATAGTAATAAATTATTAATATTAAAAATGTATTTCTATTTTTTCTTTTTACATATTTTGTTAAAAGGACAAATAAAAAATTCATACCAAAAAAAAGTAATTTTCTGTTTTGTTTTATTCTTGGATCAGGCTTTAAAGGGTTCAACTAACAAACATCTGCAGGAGGTTCAGAACACTGCTGCATGACTTTTAATGGGTACTCATAAAAGAGAGGACATGTGCTGGCTTCCCTCTTCTGGATGCTGATGCATTTTTTTTTAGATAATTAGATAATAGATCATTCTTATGTTTCTTTTAAAATGTTTTCAATTACCTCATATCTCTGGGCCTTTGTACTCCTCACTCTCAGGTCCGCTGACCAACTGTTCCTATACCATGATCTAGATGGAAGCTCAGAGAGGCCCCTTCACCAGTCTCTTTTAGAACCCATTTTTATGCTTTAATTTTCAAATTCAGTAAGATTTAATTTGATATGGTTTAATTGTTTTTGTAGTGATGAATCATAGTTGGTCTTATGTTAAGTTCATATACATATCTGATCTTTTGTAGCCGCTTGATATTTCTTTTGTTTTGTAATGGCCAACTGTGTAAATGTTGAATACCTGAATAGGTTTCTTCGTTATTGGTGATGCTCTCTTTTAGGTCAAATCCTCACCCCATCTGCCCGCTACACTCTCTCTATACGCTTCAAAGCTAAAGCAGAGCACTGGTGAATTGTCTGAATGTTTTCAAAACTGTATACACCCACAGCAGCTTAACAGAGAATATTGTCAAGTTGAAACCTTATCACAGTGTGGATCACGTTGAGATGATTGGGTCCTTTCTGTATGGAGTTTGCATGTTCTGTGTACGCTGGTTATTCGGGTTAATTGGATATTCTAAATTACCCATAGGAGTGAATGATAATCTTACCAATCCATCAGGAATGCTCCTGTCCCCTTCCCAAGTAAACTGACTTGTAACATTACATCGTCAACATATCTGAAAATGAATTGGAACTGAGTGGAAGTAGAGATTTACTCATGATTAATACTGAAATGTGTACAGTCCATCATAAGATAAGGCACAGTTGCATATCTGTAGGAACAATAATGTTGCGATCTAATGCTATTTTCCTGGGGAGGTGAAGTGTTTGCGACATTTGTTGTGTGTTGGTATTCTGGGATGGCTAAGAATAAAGCAAAAATAAGCCTATGTTCAATTCTAAAACCATCCTTGAGCCATTCCCTGCCTACAATCAAAAGGTATATTTAATAAAGAGTTAACACAGATTTAGACAGATGACATGACACCATTACCAGCCAAATTATTTTATTTCTCCCTTCTAAAAACATTTCTTTGCTTTGACCCTTTTATCAGGATGGGCTGGAGACACTGTATGAAATATTAAGTCTCTGGCAAGAATTTGGCAGGAAGACAAAGTGTAAAAGATTTTGGCAGTCATGGCAATACAGGATTTACTGCAGGTCCGTGCAACCAGGAGCTTCCAGTGTCTCTAGTCCAAACACCAAATACCACTGCAAGCATCTGAATACAAAGAAATCCATGTAATGTCTTTTTCCACCAACATTTACATATGAGGCACAGATTTTGCCTTTCCATCTGGTATCTAAAACACAACAACAAATTATCAGTTTTTGTCACCATGTTATAATAAACATTTATTAAGAAAGACAGACAGTTTCATCAACCCAAATTAAGATTTTGTTCCACAAATTGGAAATTTATTGATCACTTACACCAAGATTTTAAAAAATTATATTTGTTAAATACTGAAAAGATATGTCCAATATTGCATAATATTGAACTAATCAAGCTATGCGGGATGAAAATGAGAGAAGCATGATAATAGTTGCTAAAAGTGCTACAAAGTTATGAGCATTTATACATACATTGAATGAGACCTAGCGTTATCAGGCTAGTAAAAATTGGAATATTAATGAGTATTTCTAGGTGAGTTTCTGATCATCTGAAATACATCTAAAATCAGGCATATTTATTACTCAGAATTCCAAAATGGTACATTATTAGGCAGCAGAATGAATGGCACTCATGTTCATTTCAGCAGTACTGAGCTGGGTTTGAGTCCTATGCAGTCTTGCTTTTTGGACACTGTGATGAATGCCATAGCTGAAGTAGATGACCAGCCCTAGTGATATTGGAGACATTTATATTTAAATCATAAAATGAAATCACATCAGAAGCTGGACATAAAAGTGGCCGTTAGTGGCAGTTTGAATACTTACCAACTACCATCCAAATGAAGTAACTGATCCATATTTGTCCTTCCAGCTGAACCATTAGGTAGGTATTGATGAAAACACTCAAAACTGGGATCACAGGCACAAAAGGAACCTATTAAAAATAAATGGATAAAAACACATGCAGATACACTGAAAAGAGATTAAGTCCTTTATCTCAAGTGAGGAAACAAATACTTTTGCAGCTCAAAATTTACACATTTACATTCCTGCATAAAAAAAACAGTAGGTAGGTGTGAGAAGAACATAACAGTAGTCAAGCAACAGTTCTGAGAATGTCAAACCAATGGCCAATCAGAGACTGGGCCGTTTTCCCCAGTTTGTCCAGATACGTCTGTGTGAATGCAAACATTGAAGGACCTTAGGACCAAGAAGAAGAAACGCCTTTGTCCTTTTGTGTACACAGTGTCCACTTTGGCTAACTAATCCAGTTTATCAGTCAATACCACCCCCAGGTATTTGTAGGTGTGAACATTCTCCATCTCTATTAATGGTGATCGACTGGCACAGCGTTTTTGATTCAAAGTCTGCACCCCAGTCAGTGAAGGCTTCCACTGCGTCTCCATTGTACACCTCCAAAATAATCATGCCGAAACAGGATACAATTAGATTAAATCGGACAAACTATAAAATGCAGGGGATGAAATGAATCCAGTGCCCCAAAATCATCTAACCATCCTGACATATTGTGGTGTAACAGCCAAACAATGGCCACTGCTGTGCTATATCATGACTGAATTGTCATCTTATACATATATCTATTACATATTTCAGCCTTTCACTTCCGAGTTCAGTTAGAATTTTAAGGTCTTTCCATGAGATATAGTCAAGTACAGGGCAACAGTTTTGTCAAGTGTAAACTCTTCTGCCCAAGGCAGTTAATTCAATTCAATTAAATTGTCTTTATATAGCGCCACATCACAACAGTTATCTCACAGCGCTTTCCAAACAGAGTAGGTCAGACCCTACTCTGAAGTTAATTACAGAAACCCAACAATTCCCACCATGAGCAAGCACTAGGCGACACAGGCAAGGAAAAACTTCCTTAAGCTAAGCCAATGACTAGTGTTTAAATTTATTTATCTTTTAAGCTGATTACCACCAAATCTTGCGATTACCTAAAAAAAATATTGACACACTTACAAACATCAATTGGCTAGTTTACCTTGAAAGCAGCTTGAGTTGTGTTCTGTGGATGTCTCCAGATGATAAAGACAGCAAATACCAGCATTAGCAAGAGAACAGAGGCAAGAAGTATGCTCCATAGTTCTCCATTATGGAAGTAATCCAAGGCCTCACTCAGCAGCACACTGAAAACAACCACGAGCAGCACTGGGAAGACAAGAATAATAAGACAAGTGTATGCATGCATTGTCATCCCATGTGTCATGTTTCCTAAATTTAGGACACAGACCTCAGGAATTCTGAATAAGAGAAAGGATGACTCACAGATAATCATCGTGATTACGTTAACATTTCTGGAAGTTCCCTTAGTGGGTTGTGCTGGCGGCCTCAGAAGCCCCAATATTGTAAACTGTTCCGGTCTGTGGGCAAAGTTATCATCTTCTTTGTACCTAGTAGGAAAAACCATCCTTTTCAATACTAAGTCAGGGATATGATTATCATGGATTTATCCATTATTTTTGTCCCTTAAAGCCTAGTGTCTCATTACTGTGCTACTGCAGGAACTAAATGAAAGAAAAAAAAACAGATGATTTTTTAATTTGACTCTTTACACAAACCGCACAATCTGAATAGATGTACGGACTCCACCAGCTTTAAATGAGAGACTTCCCTAAATGTTGACACTTTTGTTTTGATCACACGCAGACCCCCCCCCCCCCCCCTTTTCCTATAAAAATTGTTCTTACAACATAACTAATGTACAAGAAGACTACTGAAATATATCAAAGCACTAGGGATTAACAGTGGACCAATCTTCCATTTATTGTGAGATTGTCCTGACCCTTCCTGGTTATTATTATCCAATTACAGAAAAACAAAACCTTGTGTAAACCCTTACAAAGAATACTGTATTTTTTTAAACATTTAATAAAATGAATGTTTTCCATCAGGATCCAGTTGAGTGATTCAAAGTAGTTGGACCCAAATAATCAGTTAATCATGCATCTAAAGTCTACCAATAATTCACTTACCTCATGCAATGAACCATTGTGTCAACATAGAAATATGATGTTTACAACCTTACAAAATCTTGAAGTATTCAAGATTTTCCCCTGTGATTTGCACCATCTCAGTCTAACCTTAAGAGGAAATTCTGAGCAAAATACATATATAACATAATATGAAAACTGTGTGGACAGGTTTTATCCAGTCAAATTTAGTTTTAAATCAATTTTAAACTCAATTAGTTTTTACACTTCAATCACTTTCTGTAGTATTTAGTTTAAATTTGATCTGCAAATGACACATTTTACCTACAACTACTGCTATAAAAAAGGCATACAAGCCATAAAGGCCAGCGGTACACACTGACAATGCATATGCACCACTTAAAATCAACTAATTCTATGGCCTTTATTTTAGATTACAACATGCCAACAATATGACATGCCTTTACAGTCCCTAGCATACACTTTACCTTCCTTTCCATTTTGAAATGGAAGCCACATTCGTGCTTTTCTTGAGATGGAAATACACCCATTGCCACCGTTGCATTTTCTCTTCTTTTTTCACACTGATTATTATCAATCTAGTTCGCTGGCAGTCTAAAAAAGGACTGCATGATTTCTAAACAGCCTCAGAAAATACATGCATGTATTTTGAAATGTATATGAAGGTGTACAGAAAAAAAAAAAAGATAAAAGAGCAGCATAAGGCAAGTTTGGTCAGAGATGATCAGATGTGTCAACGGGGGTAATCAAAACAATGAGAACACATGAGTCTGAACACAGCTAGCTAAAATGTTATAAAAATGATCTTTTTGATTTGAGAGCCTATATTTTCACGGAACAGGGCATGTTTACATTTGTACACACTTCGCATACCTTAATACAAGAATACAGACTGCAACAAGAGTGTATGCAAAGATGGTTCCGATTGAACTCATGTCGACCAATGCCTTCAGATCAAATAAGAGGACCATCGTAGCTGCAAGACATTCAAATACAGTCTGTTATAACAATAAGCAGTATAGCATAAATATGCAGAATTCTGCTCCAGTAACTGTTACTGTATCATTAGATACTTAAAAGATTCTGATAGACAACAGTAATTACAATAAAGTTCCACACTTTATTAAAAAGTTTTAAAAATTGATAATACATTCTAAATTTTCACTAATGTGGAAGAAAAAGGGAAAAGCAGGGCTTCAAATGATTTCCTTTCATTTTACTGCATTACAGGGCATTTGTTACCATTTGTATAATAATGATAAAAGATCATTGACCAATGATCATTTTACCGTGATTTTGTGTACGAGACATTTACGTGTATGGTTACAAAAAATAAATCAGATGTTAGGTTCTGTCCCGTTTTTTTAAGACAGGCTAAGACTATCCATTATTATATGATGATGTGACTTTGTCTTCACTCCTCTCAAGAATTGTGTGGCACACCTTGATGGCACTGCCGTTTCAGTTTGCAGTCTTAACGCATAACCCCCATTTCCTCTACACATTCTAGATACAAATGTACCGGAACAGCAGGTTTTCTGCAAATCTAACAAGGAAAAACTCTTTCCATTATGAATAATTAAAGTAATTCTGGCAATGCTCACACATGTCCTCTAGTAATGTGCTTTTCCTTTTAGTACATATCTGGGCTTGTTCACAAGCAGAAGGAGCCAGAGACAAGAGCAAAGGAAACCCAGATGGAATTACTGGTTGTCTTTCTGCATGTTCCACTTGTTACTTTATTTTATTTTGATACTGACAGAATAAATGCATCTAGCTTGAAAATTACCATAAACTAAAATAGAACGTATATATAACTCAATAGGTTGTTTTTTTAAAAGCCCAAATTGTTATTGCGATCTTGACTGACTGAGGTGACTATGTGAAATCTGATACATTCCATTAATACTGTTCAATATTTTTACCAGGTCAAGGGACCGCCGCTGTACCAACACTGTTTTGGTTCAACTGCAGTATACCAGGTCTTAATGCACAAATTAAAACATTTTGTTTACATTTTTTTCATTTTAGCCAAAACATTTTTTTTTCTCCTTTTATCCTCCACATAAAAACATGATGTAACTGACATATTACTTACAGTCCCATCATTTCCAAAATTCTTTGAATTCTTCTGCCACCTCTAACTTTATTTGTACATATCTTGTCCTCATTAATTTTGAATGCAACTATCAGAAATGAAGGCTTGCCTCTGAACTGTTGAAGATTATGATAGCGATGCAGATCTGTCTCTTTTTAGCATGTTCAGGCTAACCTAATGTTGGAAATCCCATTAGCGGTCCAACAAATTGATCAGAAGCCAGGACCCCAGGCTAGCTTGGTGACAGTTGAAAAGGGGAGGCATGGCCTTTAGTGAAACCTGTGGCTTATCACTGATCTGTTTGCATTTAAAGCAGATTTTACCCACTTAATGACATACCCAATGCTTACATATCTACAAACAAGGTAGAATTTATTAGTCATCCAAAAACATGACCACCTAGGGTTGAGACAGTTGAGCAGAGTTGTAGTCTGGCACTTTTTTGCTCTTTATATTAAGTGCATATCCAATAATGCGGTAAATAAATTCTGATAATTCTATTGTGATTTTCTTCACTTTCAAGTGCAAATACAACAGAAAAGTCCCTGCATTGATTTTTTTCAATATGTTTCGGAGCATCAACTAGTAATTACAAATATTTTTTACTATTCTTGGCACATAAGAACGGGGCCAAGAATGGCCAACCTTACCAGCTAGAGCTCCTGCAGAGAGTGTGGCTAAGACAGGACTTTGCCTTGAGCTCATATAGCAGAGTGGTTTGAAGAGCAGGCCATCTCTGGCCATTGCAAACATAACCCGTGGTAATGGAAACATCACTCCTAAGAGACTGTGTAAGAACCATACCAGGAACAGCAGGTTAGCATTTCTAATTCTATATTGTTGACATTTTATTTTCTAGCACATCCTTTTACCCAATGAATCATTATTACCAGACTTTTTTTTTGCCAAGTTTCAATTAGAGAACTGATGAATAGTTCATTTATCACTCAAAAGTCTTGAAGTGAAAAACTCATTACCTTGTTGAGAGTGCGCATAGGGATCCAACAGCAACAACATATTTTGCTGGCTCCCATCCGATGTACTCAAAGGCCACCGGAAGTGGACTATGGGTGTCAAGCAGATGGTAGGGCATCAGAAGCGTCAGTGCAGCCGAAACTCCAAAATAAGCCAAGAAGCAGATTAACAGGGATGCCACAATCCCAAGAGGGATTGCTTTCTTTGGATTCTTCACCTCCTCACCTATTCAAGACAAAAAGGGAAAAATGAACCATACTTATGATTTGAATTTACTACAAATGCACATGTAGCCACCCATTTTGCCTCCCCATGTGAGGTTTACGGTCACAACCATGATTCTTAAAATTGCATTTGGCAAGCAGTGATAAGAAGAAAGCAAACAGGCAAAAGCTGGTTGGGCAATACTATGGAACACATCAGGAAATCTTTCAATCCTTCCACCGAAACAATGTCAAACACTTTGTTAGATACACAGTGCTCAACTGTTGATAGCAGAAACCATTAGATAGAGGTTGTCAGGCATGATTTCAGCATTAATCTCATCTTGACCTTATGCTGATAAGAAATACTTTAGTAAAACTGAACAGTACCTGTTGTGGCAATGCAATCAAATCCAACAAAAGCATAGAAACAAGTAGCTGCTCCTTCCAAAGTTCCGTCAAAGCCAAAAGGGATGAACCCTCCATTACCAAATTCAAAAGTTTGGTTTTTGGTCTCTGTATGGTTCCTGTTCAAATAAAAAAAAGCATTAACATTTATCATTTCAGCTTTCATTTTCTCAAATATTCCTCCACGTGCGTAGTAACAGCTAAAAGATGCAAAAAATGTATAACATACCTGTAGCCGACTTATTTAGACAAGATTTATTGGGGCGCGAAGGCATTACTGCAAACCCATAAGTATTTTGTATACTTACTCCACCCATTATTTCACTTCTACATACATCCCAAAAGCTTGGGTTTCATTGCACACAAACCTTTCATTGCTTGAATGCTTCATCCAATATCAAAATGTGCAGAATAAGAGAACTGTGCCCTTTTTCGTGTAAATGGTAAAAAAACAAAAATGCCAGCTAAAACTTTGTCCCTTAGGAAATTTTAGAACTCCCTAAAACAATGGCCCAAATTTAAGGCCCCTTTGGAAACAGTAAAAAACCCTGTTTTGCTACAATCACTGTTTAGGTTTTAGGAAAAAAAACACAATTTTCATAAAATTGCACAGTCTGTGACCATCATTGTGTTTCCTCCTGATGTTTTGTGATAAATGGACCCTGTAACCATCAAAATCTGAATCATTGGGTCACATTATAAAGTTCTCAAAGTTTTTCATGGCATTTTCAAAGTTTTTGAAACTGCCATTAAAGCTATATTTGAGATAGGCTCTGTATGAGTGTTTTCACAAATTTTCTGAGGTATGACATATTATTGAAAAAAGCAGTGGTGAGCCAATTAAACCGGGAGGGAAAACCCACACTACCCATAATGCTCTGTTCAGTACAGAATCTTTTTACCACCCCAAACAGATCTCTACTCTCAATTGACACTCAGTAGAGTCGTTTTCTCATTACTGACTCTTTGTGCACATAGCGTGCGTAATCGATGTTTGTTGTCAATATGATCACATGACAAGTACATGGATCCACCGCAACTTTTCTCAAAGCACTCATACAACACATGCCTTTATATTGCTAACGTAGCTTGACAATTTAAACATACTAGTGTTAGAGACAGGAGATGGACAGACATGTTTAAGTGAGAACACATTAGCGGAACTGCCATCAGTGGTTTTTAAGTGACGTCAATCTCTCAACTACTTCAGACCAGTTGCTTTCACCATAGGAGTCCCTTTTCTTTTAGCCCATTTTATCAGTTTTCAATATCCGTAATGTTTACTCAGTGTTAGTTTGCTAACAAAGGGGTCTACGAGAGGCAATAGCTTGGCAACCTTCAATTTATTCTGAAATTTTGTTGTCCATTTTTGCTGCAGTTGTCGGCCAGACAAGTTAAGAAAAATGGACCATATGAGAATTTGTTTCTAATAATCAAATTAAGTCATTGTGGTGAAATTCTTTGACCCTAGGAGCCAAGGTTGATTGGTATCATAACAATGACAGTTATGGAAGGTTATACCAGTGAAATCATGTTTACTGAACATAAACATTTTAGTAACTGTCCAAGCAAAAACACAAAAATTTAAAATTCCGTGAAGTATTGCTCGACTGGGTTTAAGTGATTATTTTTACGCATTGCAGCAATATAGAAATTAAGTTTGTGCTTCTCAACAGTTGTTTGAGATATAAATATTGCCTAACCAGATTATACAATTTAGAGTATATATGAAGACAATAACCAATTCCAAAATGCTCAAAATAAATTAAAATGTTTAAAACGTCCCCAAGTTAAGTCTTGCAGTATATCTATGAATATGAAACTATGCTTTGACAACTCAGAAAATTATTTGAATGTTAAAGCATATATGGAACTTACTTGCTCTGTTGAGTGAAATTGCGAATAGTTTCACCACTGATGTGCCAGTTGCTGATATTTCCTTTTATGAAGCCAGAAATAACGATAAAACACAAGACAGTGACATTTATCACAGTAAAAATGGTATTCACAACTGCAGACTCCTTCACACCATATGCAAGTATACCTGAAAAGAGGAAAAATTGAATAAGTGGCAAATACATTTCAATATGAAAAGCAGCTTACATTCTCAGTAATTACAGTACAAAATCTTTGAACAAACTTGAAAGAGTTACCAGCAAGCAACAAAATCAGCAAAGCAGCAAAGAAGTCTGGGTATGAAGCCAAGCCAGGTAAGTCCATCTTTGCATATTTTTCAAGTGTTTCAGCCATGACATTATGTATCAAGTCATCAAAAGCCCCAGTCCAGGCTTTTGCTACACTTGATGTTCCTGAGAAGTAGGATTTAACAAAAAAAAAAAAAGTTTTAGCATATTTTGCAGCCAGACATAAGAGCGAATTAAGTTTGCACCTCACCCTTTAAATTAAGCATTGCAATGTATATCAGAAATGGCAATATATATCTGTGACTGAAAAAAAAGACTGAAAAAAAAGAATAAAATTACCAATGATATAAGACAGCAGTAGATTCCATCCAGTTACAAATGCCCACACTTCTCCTACAGTCACGTAGGTGTATAGGTAGGCTGAGCCTGTCTTTGGGACACGGGCTCCAAACTCAGCATAACACAATCCCGCAAAGACAGAAGCCATTGCCGCGATCAGGAAGGAAATGATAATGCTTGGGCCCGCAACTTCTCTTGCTACCTCTCCGGAAAGAACATAAACCCCTGCTCCAAGTGTGCTGCCAACACCCAGACCCACCAGGTCCAAAGTGGTAAGGCATCGGCAAAAGTTGGAGTCCTCACCCTCTGGCTCAATAGGTTTTTTTCGGGTCAAAGAGTGAATGAATTTCCGTACCTGGTCACAAGATAGTCTGAAAACAGAAAAAAAAACAACAGTAATGTCTCACTTGGGTTTTGGTGTTTAAACATTATAGTAGTTACATGTAATCTTAAATTTGAACTAAATGAACAATTGCGATATGGGCACTGAACAACATTACCTGCTACTTGAATCTAAGCCTCCATTTTCAGATTGCCTGAACATTGTAAAAGGAAAAAAAAGTACAAAGAATGCAAAAAAAAAAAAAAAATTGGGTCTGCTATGTCTTGTTCCTCTTTGCAGGTACCAGCTGGCCTCAACCCTGTTGAATTCTTCACACCTGAAGTCATTTCATATAATCATCTGAAGTGGCCGTGGAATGATTGAAGAAGAAAATGTTTTTCAATCAGTCCTTGTCTGCAATCGCTTCCATTCCTATCATGTGAAAATATGGGAAAATATGGGCTAGTTCTGTTGTTTTAGCTTAGTTCAGTCCAGTTAACTTACCCTGGCTTATTTTTGGCCTTGCATGAAACTCTTGGCTTTTTTTTTTTTTTAGACTTTTTGGACACTGTCCACTTTACATACTCATTGTTGGATCTCCACAGTGATCTACACCTGTGATCATTGTAATTTTATGTTAAACATGATGTTGCATAAAAGGTCAACAATGCAAGTACACATATTTAAAATTAAGCTGTTTTCAAACTTACCCCATGTAGTGAGCAAACTGGATTGTTAGAAAAAAAAAGTGGGGAAAAAATCTGTATTAAACTACCCATATTTTTATATGAGCCAAAAGTAAATTGGATGAAGAAACATTGACCTTTACCGTCTTAAATTTCATATTTTACCAACCTTAAAAGCCAGTCATTTCATAAAGTATTTGCTTACTGTTGTTGCAGAAAAGCAGGTTAACCACATAAAGTTTGACTTAAAAAAATATAAATATATATCGCTATTTTGAAATTTGACATTTTGAATTTTAAAAGCCTTACGTAATAAATCTAGGTACCCCCCTCAAGAATTTTTATTTGGGCTTGTAATTAGTATGGGAGTATTCTTCCTTGGGGTGGCACGGTGGTGTGGTGGTTAGCACTGTCGCCTCCCAGCAAGAAGGTTCTGGGTTCGAATCCCGGGGGAACCAGAACCTTTCTGGGTGGAGTTTGCATGTTCTCCCTGTGTCTGCGTGGGTTCTCTCCGGCTTCCTCCCACAGTCCAAAAACCTGCATGTTAGGTTGATTGGAGATTGGGGAAATTGCCCTTAGGAGTGAATGTGAGTGTGAGTAGTTGTTTGTCCTTGTATGTCTTGTGTGTGGCCCTGCGATGGACTGGCGGACTGTCCAGGGTGTACCCTGCCTCTCGCCCGTTGACCACTGGGATAGGCTCCAGTTCCCCCCGCGACCCCATCAGGGAATAAGCGGTATTGATAATGGATGGATGGATGGATGGTATTCTTCCTTGTTCTGCAAAAGTCGATTTCTTTCCATTTACTACACATTGCAGAGATCCTTTGTATCATGCAGACGATCCCCCACTTTTTTAATTTTTATCATGTGTCTATCAGCAAATGCTTAAAGTGCTACAAAGAAATATTTCAATCTGACACTTTCACACCAAATGGGTCACTTCGGCACATCAAGGGACTAATATACATTACAGACCAAAAGTTTGGACACACCTTCTCATTCAAAGGGTTTTCTTTATTTTCATGACTATGAAAATTGTAGATTCGCACTGAAGGCATCAAAACTATGAATAAACACATGTGGAATTTTATACTTAACAAAAAAAGTGTGAAACAACTGAAAATGTGTCTTATATTCTAGGTTCTTCAAAGTAGCCACATTTTGCTCTGATTACTGCTTAGCACATACTCTGCATTTTCTTGATGTTTTTCAAGAGGGAGTCACCAGAAATGGTCTTCCAACAGTCTTGAAGGAGTTCCCAGAGATATTAAGCACTTGTTGGCCCTTTTGCCTTCACTCTGCGGTCCAGCTAAACCCCAAACCATCTCGAATGGGTTCAGGTCCCGTGATTGTGGAGGCCAGGTCATCTGGCGCAGCACCCTATAACTCTCCTTCTTGGCCAAATAGCCCTTACACAGCCTGGAGAAGTGTTTGGGGTCATTGTCCAGTTGAAAAATAAATGATGATCCAACTAAACTAAACGCAAACCAAGCATGCTGCTGCAAGATGCTGTGGTAGCCATGCTGGTTCAGTACGCCTTTAATTCTGAATACATTTTCAACAGCGTCACCAGCAAAGCACCCCCACACCATCACACCTCCTCCTCCATGCATCACGGTGGGAACCAGGCATGTAGAGCTCATCCGTTCACCTTTTCTGCTTCGCACAAAGACACAATGGCTGGAAGCAAAGATCTCAAATTTGGATTCGTCAGACCAAAGCACAGATTTCCACTGGTCCAATGTCCATTCCTTGTGTTCTTTAGTCCAAGAAAGTCTCTTCTGCTTGTTGCCTGTCCTTAGCAGTGGTTTCCTAGAGTGTTTTTTTTTTTCCCTTGTCGTTTTTGGCATTATGGCAACAGAATTGTTATCTGAGTGCCGTGCTGTGCCCGATACTTTTGCTTTGCCAAAGGAGGCCTGTCAGGGTGAGAACCCTCCCTTGATCATCCAATACTGCTTTATTATTTATTTAGGATGTATTTTTGTTACATAAGTAGTTACATAAGTGGTTTCCTAATGCCAAACATGACCGGGGTTGGTTCTGTATAGTTTTTCCTTGTGTTTGATTTCTTTTCAGTTGACCTCATTTGAGTTATTTATTATTTGAGTTATAATTTATTGAAGTTTGACCTTTTGTTTACCATTTTGTAAATTAAATTGCCATTTTTCTCATTTTTGGAACACCCTTGAGCTTGTTGAGTCTGGTTCCTTACATGCACCATCTTGGAAATATTCTCCACCCGCACATCTTTGAAATATTCTCCACCCGCACGTCATGACAGAAAGACTGACTCTGGTGCAGGCAGAAATCACTAACCAGACGGAGTGAAGACAGAATTTTTATTTTCACTCCGAGAGAGATGACTGGCATGAAGGTACAAGTACGGAAGGAGTAAGCGACAGAAGGGATGTAGATCCTGATCCCGAAGGGGGTGGAGGGTGGACAGGCAGGGTAAATAACCCAGGGAGGAATCCAGAAACTGCAAGGAGGACTTAGAGGAGACGCTGAGGATCGAAGGATGACATAAGGTTTAGTTTTCTCTCCTGGACGAAGGATATTCCATGGAGCTGTGGAGCTAACTGGTGGCTTTATTGTATCAGAAAAGATTTGCTTGAATTCTTGAGTATCTGGAGCAGTAAACAAGAGCTTTAAAGAGTGTATACATGCCTTTATTGAATAGTTTTTTTTTATGAGCAATTTATTAAATTCCTTTAGCTTTTACTGAAAAAGTTTAAAGACAAACAGTTTAAATCGCCCAATGATTGACAGAAAATAAAAACAGCAATCTAATAAATGTAATGACCAAAAAAAGACATCACTTTATGCATTTAGGTCTTGTTGTCGAAGGTGGTATCATTGGTGACGTGATGGGACTTTTCAGATCTGCTGTCCCAGGTCATCAAATTAAAATTGTCCTAAAGTAAGAGCAAACAATCCTCATTGAGTATGTATTCTGATTTGTCAAATGTACATGTAATTACACAGAAAACTTAAACATTGCGTGCACTGGAATCCAAACAAAATGTTGATTCAGTGGAATATAGCATAGAAAATTACATTAAATATTCTGAATTCAAAGGAACAAAAAATGTTATCATATAAAAAGTGTTTTATTTGCAGGCTGGTGCTATAAGTTTGGCTACAAAAATGCCCCACATTCTCACATATTATTATAAAGAGCCAAATCTGCAATGAACATGACCAATCAACGTGCCTTGCACTGGTATTTCTGCCAGCCTGGTCTGGGTGAAGCTTTAACCTTGTATTTGACTGGCTGGAGGACCACACCAAACTTTCCATCCAAACTAGGAAGAGAATCACTTGGTGGGACAGAGAGGGTAAAGTGCTGTAAGATGGAGGATAGGAAGAGGAAGAGCTCCATCTTGGCCAAGGCCTCACCCAAACAGACCCTGATCCCAGCACCGAATGGCAGGTAGCTGGATGATGGCATAATCAGACATGTGCCTTTGCCGTTTAAAAATCGATCTGTAGAGCGAAAACAGAATCATTTTTACTGGAAAACAGTAGTGATGAATATCTGATCCAAACTATATTGGTCACGTGAAAAATATGATGGAAATTATCCAGTGAATCACCTGGTAATTTTTGCATATAATCGGAATCAAAAGATTAAACGTTTCTTTTTTCTCGCTCATTTTAGTTTAATTTTCTAAAAAAAATGTCTCATTACTTTCTTTAGCAAAATATATTTGGACTAAAGTTTTAACTTACCAGGGTCAAAGAGCTCAGGGTTGTTCCATTCATTTTCATCGTGGTGCAAGGACCAAAGGTTGATGATGACTCGTGTTCCTTTTTTCACAGTAAAATTCCCTATACTACAGAGAATTCAGAAAGGATTGGTCAATTATTGTCCACGGTAAAGATAGCAGACTGCATAAAGAATTAAGTGTAGGCATATCAGAAGAATATCATGTTAAGTGTACCTTGTATCACTAAGGGCTACATGGGGTATGAGCAGAGGAGCTACAGGACGAATCCGTAACACCTCCCTAATGGTGGCCTCCAGGTAGGGAAGACTACCTCTATCTCTAAGCTGAGGAGACCGGCCCATCCCAACCTTACTGTCAAGCTCATCCTGGATACGCTTCTGGACCTAAAAAAAAAAAGAATAATGGTTGAATTGTGATTATTAATTAATAATTAAAGCAACAACAATCTGTGATAGGATATGATGTAGAGGTTCATGTTGCTATTGCCTGATATAATATTTTTATTTGTGACTAAGGCAAACACATAAAGTCTGTTTGGGAGGTAAAAAAAAAAAAAAAAAAGCGTGCACATACACATATGCAAGTACAAAACCAATAGTTATATTTAAATTATTTTACTATATCTTAGATGACATATAATAAAAACGAGAAAAAAGTCAAACATAATAATGAAAATAATCTTCTGATTAGAAACATTTCAGACCAAAAAGTATCCTCACCCCTCCCTTGTACAAACAGTTGTGACTTCGGACTTACTTCAGGGTAATGGATCAGGTAGGCGATAGCCCATTTGAGCACAGTTGTGGTGGTTTCAACTCCAGCTCCAAAGATGTCTCCTACTGTCATGAGAAGGTGGTCCTCACTGAAGCCCACCGAGTCGGCACAAATCTCTGTGTTGTTGTTGTTTTCAGCACTGCGCTTCGCTCTTAGCAGGGCATCCATCAAGTCTCTTTGTACATGGTCACTGTAGTCAGCCTGGCATGTGTGATATTGTCAATATACAGGATGCATTCAGTAATGATAAAAAGTGTACTGTATTTCATGAGGTTTATGGCTGACTTAGAGACACATCAGAACCAAAACAACATTGTGCAATTTATATTTATTTTAGTGAAACACAATAATGATAATCCCATGCAACAACATTACTGAAATATGCAAGTGTAGTAATAAGTATGCTAGGGATTGGAATCCTTACGTAATGGCCCGCATAGGACTGTATTGATACGACAATGAAAAATAATTAATGGCAACTAATTACTGTCAGCCCTATGATTATTACTGGTGACTGTACCTTGTGTTCATCATACTTTTTCTGTAGAAGTTTGTCTCTGATTGCAACACAGTCCTTAAGGAGGTGCAGGTCTGCATTAGGAAAAATCTGTGACATATAGACAGATGTCATACAAAATTTCCACTTGTATGACTTCTTAGTATACAAGGCAAAACATTTTTCATTTGGGAAAAATCACATGACAAGACAAAGAACAACAACAATACTACTACTACTACTACTACTACTACTACTACTACTACTACTATTACTACTACAACTAATATTAATATTAATAATAATAACAACAGTTTATTTGTTTAAAATAAATAAACAAATATGTGTGTAAACTTCATATAGTCATTTACAAAGTGCACTACAGCAGAGCCTGTCTCTCTCCTGTCTCGAATGTTTATAGTTTTATGTTTTATGGTAAAGGAATACTGTTACTTTTTTATCTAACCTGTAACCAGGGGAAGATGTCAACAAGGCTGTCCTTAGCCACTGTGTCCACAATACCCTGGCTGTATTGCAACATAGTTTCAAACTCGGGATCGCCTCGGTAGTAGGAGGAGCTGAAGCAGAGTGAGCAAATTACGTTTGTGACTGCCCGGGTAAGCTCAGGGGACAGATCCAATGCCAGTCCCATAGCTGCTGCCTCTGACAGGGTGGAACATAAAGATTGGGCCTCTGCAAGGACTAAGCAAAACACATCTGACATCATTAGTGATATGCTTAAAACGTAATCTAAAAAACACTACATGATATATTTGTGTATATTACAATTTCTTAGATTTATTTGTGTGAACCACAAAACTCAGTCAACTTAATGTCCCACTGAAGTAATCATTTATATGGTCTATAATTTCATGTCACTCAGTTATTACAAGAGAGTATTTGATCTTTGGGGAAAGATTTTTCACTAAAGCTACACATATTCTTTAGGAAGATTTAATTTAAAAACTTTGGGGCCTGTTTTACAAGCTTTTTCATCTATATTTCTTTATCCTAAATGAATTATTTCAACATTTTCAGCAAAACAGTGTAACTATGCAAGAAATATCTAGATAAATGTAGCTTGATTGCTAATACAATTAATGACAAAAGATCTTCCAAGTAAGACAATGTGATTGGCAAAGTCCTTCAGAAATGTACTCACTGATCCTCTCTATGGAGGCAGAACCCTCTCCGAACATGCACAAAGCTCCATGAACTATTTTCCTGTGGAACCTCCAGGTGGCACTGTAGTCTCCAAATGCAATGTCTTTCCCATCTCTTGTCAGAACATCAGTCGTTACCTTAGCACATGAGTGAAAACAAAAAAAAAATCAGAAATAACTCCTGTTGAAGCGAAGAAAAAGAAAATGCCTATTCAAAAGTTTACCCACTGTTCTGGGTCTTCCTGCAAATATTTTCCCTTTCTTCAGCAGGACTTCTTTAGCATGCACATACTGGTTGACAATGATGACTCTGTGGAAACCCATCATCAAAGAGTACGTTTCTCCATATTTTTTCTGCAGATTTTTGAAAAGCACATGTGGAGGGTGTGGGCTTCGCAAACTTAGCAGACTACCAATGAAAGGTAGAGCTGGTAGGCAGGGAAGCTCCTGGGAATTCCATGCAGACCTAAGTGTGCACAGCCACGCAAAAAAAGTCAGGCCTATCACGGTAAACACTAATAGAGACAAAAAACAATCCATAGCTAGTATAAGATGGCCCTAAATGCAGAGTTTGTTTCAGCAACGGCCATACATCTCAGTGAAAAACTGTGGGGGAAATTGCAAAGCCTAAGCTCGGACAGCTTTTTATGCATCAACTTCAGGGCCAAAGCCTTGACTCTGACCATTTAAACAGTGCCAAATCAAACAAGATAGGAGACACTTGTCTCTCTAAATCCTTGAAGAAAAGAAAGATCAAATATCACTACCAAGGTTTGTTAAATCAGAAAAGTGTATATACTGTATCCAGACTACAATAACTAGAACCAAACCATCAAATATATTACGACACTTTGAATTAATAAATGGTATTTAAAAAGAAAACCTGAACAAGATGGTGAGCTGTGCAAAATTCAAAACAAGGCCCAGTACATTTAAAATGAACGGATTTTCCAATCAAATTTAGATGGAGGTCAATAGCAGCATTTTCAAAAATCTATACTGATATGGTAGTTTGTAGAGTTACAAGGATTTATGGATGCGTTTTGGTGTAATTTGACCCTCATCAAGCACCGTCCTTTGCAAAAAAAAAAAAAAAAAAAAATGGCTTCAGCTGACTCTCTTCCGCGGTTTGGCCAGTCTGTTAAGTGTTTGTTATCCGACAAAGTTGGGTTTTGCAGCGGGGATGTGATCGCACTGACCCGCCAGGTGCTGAAAGGATCGCGTAGTCAAGAGGTAAAACAATATCAGAAATCTTACCTTATTTCTACCTTCACTTTGCGTCTTCGTCTTAGCACTAAAGACCGGAAACTTCACAGAACAGATTCTCTTTCCAAAATAAAAGCCTTACGTTTAGGACAACAAATGATATATAGTTGGTAGTCTTAAGGCATATAGTTTTTAAACTAAACATTTGATTTTATATGCATGAATAATTGCAAATAAAACCAGCTGTATCATGTGTGCTAAAATTTGAGTTGAGTTTGTGTCAGTGTTATGGTTCAACCACCGACGACGTGACCGTCTGCCAAATGCGGCGGTGGTTGTTAAATACGAACTAGAAAATGTCTAAAGAAATTTCGAAGGGGGAAGTTTAACTGAACCCATCACAAGCACCTTATTTGCACTCAGAGCCCTTTCCTTAGTCGGATAAATTGGGCAATAAATTGAGGCAATGGCTTCTGTTTCTTCTTTGTCATGTTTTCTATCATACTTAGTTGCATTGTATCTATAGGATATTGAATATGATTGTGGGTGATTTTTGTTGGCCAACCTTCTGTGTGGATGAGTCTTTGAAATATTTGAAAAGATTCACGCCTAACTGTTGAATTACAAACCACTTGGTTTTTTATTTGTATGTTTAAGTATCTTTGAAAATGACATTTGTTGTGATGCAGTGATATTCTGAGCTAATGAGAAGAGAAATTGGAACCGTTGCCGTTCACACTAGGTTGCAGGTTACAATGTGGGCTAATATTGAATTGCCAGCAATATGATGATAAGTAACTATCTAAGATTGTCTAACTGTGTTGGGGACTATCTGGGGATTAGACATTATTATCACGAATTATGGGTTGAAGTAATCTGTACTAAAGCTTATTTTCTGTTATGAGTTTCATGACTAATCATGGTATGAAAGAAAATGGTTACAGCCACACTGAAGTTTCCTTTAGATTTTTTGAATAAGTGTTAATTTGGATGACATTACAGAGGTGGCCAAAAGGTAATATGGCAGTAATATACCTAACCAGTAGTAAACCGAAGCTGAATTGTCACAAAGAAAAAGGTTTAGAATCAGTTGTCATTTAGAGAAAATGTTTACTTTCAAGTCCAACAGTTGAGACCCTTTTATATTTTTGTTGTGATGTATGCTCGAGTGTTTTTCTAAAAATGTACATAACCAAAACACAGGAAAGTTAGTTTATTTGGAAATGTAATGACATTAAGAAAAGAGGAGACCGTGTTAAGCATTTTTTCCTCTAGGCTGTTCCTGCTGTCCTGTATCAATACAGATGAACTCAGTCGTCCTGTGTGTGACTCTCACTCTACATTACAACCAAGCATGCAAACAATGGGATTTTGATGAGACATAAACATTAACCAGAACAGATAAGCGGGTTCTTTTGTTTTTTTCAGCAGCTGTGGAGCACTAACGCTTTTTGCTGTAGGACTCTAGTTATAGTACTCACAGGTTAAACTGTAACACCAGAAACATTACACGTTTCTGGCCTGCTGGTTTAGAATCAGTGTCTTAAACATTATGATTGTAAAAAGAGCTAATCTGTGTAAAATGTTTACAGACATTAACACAAGGGCTGTGTACAAAAGTGTGTTAACAGAGTATTTTACTAATGGGAAGTGATGTAACAGAGGACATAAGAGCATTTAAAAAGTGCAATGAAATAAAGCAAAGGACAATAATGCAGTTCAAAGAGTCAACAGATTAAAACTGAAAATATTGTTGAGAGGATTTTTCATGCCTACTGATACTTGGGAATTTAGATTTTTTAAAATGATTTTTAAAATGTTATCGTGAAAAGAGATTGAACCTAGAACTGTGAGCATGAGAGCAGAGAAACAAGAGAAAAAGAGGAAAAAGGAATTACGGACAATGAAGCAACGATGGAAAGAGAGATGAAAAATTCAAGCAATACTTACAGTTGTGTTACTTCTAATTCTAAATTAATGTCATGTTGGGCAGTCAGATAAAAAGAATAAATAAATAAAACCATTACTGACCTGTCCAAGGGGTTTGCCACCTAAACAGCAGCTAGTGTATTATAGTAAGATCTTATTACCGTATATATTATATTTAGAGTAAGCAGGTATAGAAAATGGAGGGATGGAAGTTCTTAGTGTGAAGCAGCTGAATCCATAAAAACAGAGGTTAGGGAATTAATAAAGTATAGAAACAACATTGAAAAACAAATGCTTTTCCTTTTAATGATGTCACATTTTTATTTTGAACATCTTTTTAACTCTGTCATTAATAGCCATTTTGCATTGCTGAGTTTAGCTAAACTTCTCACTACTAAAACAGTAACATCCTGATTATATAAGTTGTGGCTGGGACTTGATTGGTTTTGTGATTACAAAATTAGTTAATGTCAGTTCATTTTTGAAAAATATGTTTCTTTTGATTTTTTTTACACATACATATAACTTTTATATCTGTTTTTGTCATGCACTTTTCCAGGGAGAAAAAAAAAGTCTGCCCCAAAAAGAAAAATGTGGGGCAGAATGATTGAGGGAGTGCAGCAAGTGACCATGTGAAAACCAAAAAATTTTGAAAATATAAAAGGAAATAAATCAGAAAATAAAAAAAGAAAGAAAGCTTAAACCTATTAGTTTATAACCAGGTAGAGTAAATATAAGAGGCAGGGTTGTTTTTCAGGTATTTTAGAACTAGTATGATACACCAAAATAGATGCTCTTACTATATTTGAATCTTGATAACTTATTGATAACACGTGGTGCAATTAATGTCCAAACTCCATTGTAATTGTACTTAATTTAGCTTTATATATGCATGCCAATAGTGTGAAACTTTTGAGTAAAGTTTGATAAAAGTATGATTCTATCTATCCTCTTTTCTAAAGTTATATGTGTTCCTGCACAACTGAGTGGTCTTATTCTCCCAACTGATTATAATGATCAACTGTAGCAAGAGGCCACTTCATGTTCAGAACCCAAAATAGCATCCGAACACTCTTTCAACTTGTAACTACTGGTCAAGATGTACATCTACTAGTTAAGATATAACTGTTGCAGAAGGGGTCAGTGATACATATGTTAGACCAAGATGTCAAACTCCAGTCTTTTGAGTGCTGCTATCTGCCTGTTTTTGGATAAGTCCTTTCTTCAGGACAGCTGGTTCCAGCCTAGTTTGATACTTCCTGTGTTAGATGATATGAAAAACCCCAAGACTATGTCTTATGAGCTTGGGCCTACCCTTACTAACAGAAAATGCATGTCTTTTTGATGTTGTTAACTTGGTGTTGACCACCCTCATTGACCACCCTCAGGTTCTCCTGTTCAAATGTAGTTTTTTTCCCTATTTTTCACAGGAATCTGGTACGCACTCAGGACAGGAGGGTTTTGATCAGCGCAAATTATTATTCAACATCGTAACACTTGCTATTCTTCTTTATTCTAGCTGCTGGGTCAAGCAGCAAGGAATATGGTCATTCAAGAGGATGCCATTCTGCACTCTGAGGATGTAGGTATCCATATCTGTAAAGTAAAGTCAATAACCTCCATTTATGCCATGGACAGGTTCATTTAATAATTTAGTAATTTAAACTCAAAAATGAAGAAATACAATTGAATTACTAAAAAAAACTGCCAACATTTAATTAATATTCAGGTCAACGTTGCCGGTCGGGTAGGTAATGGGGAGAAAAGCTATTTGTCTTATGTACAAACCAAAAGACATTCACATCCCTATTATCTTGTCTTTCAGAGTCTTAGAAAGATGTCGATTATCACCACACATTTACAGTACCAGTGAGTATAAAGCAGTTATTTATTAATGCAGTTCTAAGAAATTCTCTTTGTTTCCTATGTAAATCAGTGTTATTGTACGTGTATCTCTTTTTGTCTTTTCCAAGGCAGGAGGCTATCCAGAAGAAGTAAGTCTAAACACAACTTACAGTGGGAAAAGTTGACCTTGCTGTTTCATTAGAAAGCCATAACACAAATTTATGACGTGCTTTTTCTCCTGCTCCTCTTTTTTTGTCGTCCAGTGTCGAGCACTCCAAAAACCTGCAGGACCAGCTTACACATCTCCTGAAGTGACAGCGTACAAATACCCAACGAAAAGAGTTCCGTGATTTTCGGATTCAATTCTCCATTGTTAAATGCACTGCTGATCCTTAGGGTGCCTAATTCCTCCATTGTCTGTATTTGTTTAATTAAAATTAAGTGAAATTCTCATGCAACAATAGTACCAGTGCATCTGAATTTTGTTCAAAGCAAGGGGCATATATATATATGTTTTTAATTTAATTTATGTGTCATGTAAAATGTTTTGGTCTGTTATATTACAAAAAGTTAATTGATTATTAAAAACTTAAATGCAGTTCCTTTCAAAATCAAATCAAAGAGCACATTTTTAATAAGTAGTTTAAGTAATTCAAGCATTACATTCTTGCCCTTACATTACTGTAATGGCAAAAACATATCAAAACCATCCTAGGGAACTTTTATTTCAGAACATTTTGAGACATTAAACAGCTAAAAAACACAACTTACCTACACAGCAGGAGAGCTTAATATTTGAATATTTCATTCAGTAATTATGTAAGGTACTTTTTAAAAGAAAAACGCACAAATCAAGAAGACATTTAAATTAATTCTTAGATTTCAGGAATGACCATAATCCTTTCATTGGCTCCACTGACTTGGCATAATAATAATGAGCAAAGCAAAAAAAAAAACATATCTGGAACTTGAAGGCCAGACAGCTGGCTGACCCTGACAACATCCTTGATACCACAATAAGTCTGTTTTTTATGCTCCTTGTGTTCGAAAAAACTGATTAGCAATCTCAGGTACATCCTTGGCCAACAAACATTTAAACATTTCACTTTGCTCTTCTTTAACATCCAAACTAGAAAACATAATCCAAAGAAAGTGTAGCATTAATCTTAGTGTAAAGCATAAGTGGTTTGTGTATTTTTCCAAAGTTTAACTGGTGTCTCTGACTTAGAAAACTCTCCTAATCGTTAAGGCCAAAATAAAACTGGCCTTAAAAACCAGTGCTGTTTTAATCTTAATTACAATTATCTAGCTGAGTTCTTCTTTGGTCACTGATCCTTATTCTTCCTCAGAATTCAAACTTGTTTTGCCATCTGTATCACAAACCCTCATCTCATTGATTTCTATGTGGGTAACACATTTGTTACCCCATGTTGTCGATAATAATCACAAAACTTTGAAAAGCTAGATGTTTTCCACAGTGAAGTGGAACAGTTCTTTTTTCTATAATTTCTTTCTATGTTTGATTAATGAAGTTTAATCAAACATGTATTTCTCACTTTTTATTTCTCACTTTTTAAGTGCTCTTAAGTGTGTTTGGCTATTTGTGTCGCTATATGATGAAGTGGAATACCTTTCCAGTGTGCAACATGGCTCTTAGTGAAAACCGGGGCCTACTGAGTATAAAATATATATATAGACTAATTATTCTGAAGGAAAGATTTCCATAGCTAACATTTTAAAAATCGTTTTCAGTTCAGTTTTCAAGGTTCAAAACACTCAAATGTTCATTTCAATCCAATTCCCCATCCTGAACACCATATCAGCAGCTCAGGGACACATGCTGAGAAAGAGAAGTAGAAACATAAGTTAACACCAATAATGTCGCATGTACATAAAAAAGAATGGTCCATAATTGGATGACAGTTAACTGAAATGCTTTAGGATCACCTGTGCTATTACTTATAATGATCTTTGTCAAAAAGTAAAGTTTTAAGCTTATTCTCAATGGTTCGCCCTGCATCTAGAGAACAAAGCACTCTGTTTTCCCAACAGAGTCCTTCTAACCTTCTATCAAAATACAAATATAATTGTGCTTAGTCATTAAGATGTTTCTACAGAATGAGAGGAGCCAAATTTAAAATGTTGTTCTGCATTTAACACAGAGTGCATGAAGAGACGTAAAGTGCATTAACAGGATCTATCCTAGTTTTCATCTGAACTCTGGCTCATCATTTTGGATCAAGAGGACGGTTTTCATACATTTTTGTGAGAGCCAGATAAGAAATTCAATGGTTTGTCCTTAAAACCTGTCTTCAAAAGGGCAGATTCAAGTGAAAATAACAGATAGTTTCTCCCTGTGGTTCCAAGGTCCAAAGACGACAAATTCAATTTATTTTGAATTTGTAAAGTAAAAAAATATATATATATCATGCTGGAAGATTAAACATTTAATTGATTTGACCTGTATTCATATATAAGCATAGCTCATTGTCATCAATATAATAGTGAATAATAAATCTATTCCATTTTGTCTAATGATGTTAACTGATGAAATCATGTATAAAGTGAAGAAATGGTGAATAATTGGTGCCTGAGGACTCAAAGATACACTCTGCCGTTGGGGGTCGACACCCTGCACCTGCTGGGATAAAACAGCCCTCTGCCCAACGCATCAGTTTGCAGGACAAAAGGGCTCTGTCCACTGGACCGGATCTGAGGGACCGTTTTGGGTGAGGTCGGTCAAGGGGCTGGTCAGCCCTACGAAGTTGGAAACAGAATTCAATCTCAGTCGGTCATGTCCAGTTGCCTAACTGATCTTTTCAAGCCAGGAGCAATACAAGCAATTTTCACATGACAACTGCTCTAGTGTGTGTAAATAAAAAAGTGAATTACTTTTTTTTAAATTGTCCTCTCAAAGTTTCAGGTCTTTGCTCTGATTAGACTGCACATATGAAACACTCTTACATCTTTTTCTATCTAGGTTAACTCAGTGTGAAATATATTTTATTTTGTGGTGAGAAAAAATAGACTACTTCTCAAAGTTTTGGATTCTTTGTATCATAATTTTTTTTCTCAAGCCCCAGATGCTGGTAGTAATAGTGTGGCCAGCGCATGGAGTGTTGTGATAGTTAAACATGACCAATGGGAACTTGGATCCCTTATAATAATAAAATTATTACATTATTATCATTATTGTTACTGTTTGCTTTTTATTATTTTTTTTATTGTGTTGCTGGTGCTGCATCAAAAGATTTTCCCTTGTTGGATTAAAAAAGTACTTTGAATTGAATTGCAAAATTCATGGGTAAAAACAACCAAGTCAGCTATTCGGAACAGAAAGACACGCTGACCAGTGGCGGACCGTGCATTTCACACCTAGGCCTTCAGTAGTGCTCCGTCTGAATCAATTCACCCCTCAATAACTATTTTATGGTTATAGAAATCATCTTATTATGTAGAAATACAGTAGGGATGTCCCGATCCAGCTTTTTGTATTAAAATTGAATTTTTTTTTTCTACTTACTTAGTTGACAGACTTATGTTGAACAGGGATTTACTCTTAAAACAACTAAAGTTTACACAGACCTGTGGGTTACAGATGCTAATGCTAATGCTCGGGTGGGATCGGACTTTTAAAAATAAATGTATCAGGCATTTTCTCATGCCGGCCGATACGATCCAAATATCGGATCAGGACAAGCCTAAAATACAGTATAAAGATCAGGGGTGCACAAGTCTTCTACTCCTGCAGCTACAGCTGCGCCGCTACAGCTGCCCCCCCCCCCCAAAAAAAAAAAAAACTAAATAAAAATACATCAATAATAACCTCATAAACTCGCAATATTATTTAGGAAAAAAACATTTTACTCACTTAATTTTCTTGAAAAGTCCGTTTTGAAAATGGTCTTGACAGTAAATCCGCCACGAAATAATAAAATAGCTATTACACCAACACAACTATATTTCGGTTTGTTTGCTAGCTTTGCCCTGATTGGATATCTGACTATCCAATCAGCGGGTGTGGGTACGGTGGCATTTCCTGGGCCTTCGCGCAGGCCCTGGCATCACCAATCTAAAATCTGATTGGTTGAAGCAACAATGTACTCGACATGTATTTTCTGTGGGGGAGGGGCCTGCAGAACGGATTGTGAAGGCCTCCAGGCAGACATCTTTGACTTTGACCCTGCCTAGCGACAAAGGATGTCTGAAATGTGATTGGTTAAATGCTTTTATATGAAAATACATGTCTGGAAGCAGCGCAACCAGGGGGAAAGCTATGAAAAGAAGCGGACAGACTATTTCGAGATATTTAATTTAAGTTTTCATGGACAAAATATAATTAACATCAGTCTGTGATTCAGATATTTTCTTAGGCCTTCAGAGAAGGCCTTGAAGGCCCTGACGGCCCACCACTGACGCTGACTACTTTTGGCAAACACACGAAAGACTATACCAGGCAAGTATTTTATTTTTTGAAAATAATTTGAGTTATTACAACTCTCAGTATTGTTGTTTTTACATAGAAATGTTTCTTTGCAATTCTGAGTGAAAAGGTGAATTTGTTATGTTGGTAAAAGCATGACTAGTGATCATCTCAAAAAGTACCATAAAAATAATTTATGATAATGGAAACTTGGCTATTTATGCCAATGAGATCTTACATGTATGCTATGTAAAGATTTTCTCTAAAAGCTTTTATCGTAAGAAACAACAATTATTTTCAAATAAAAATTTAATCTCAGAACAACAGACATCAAATATTACAGAACCATGTGAGAGTATGGTTCTGTTGTTTGTATTTGTATATTAACGTTAAAAAATACTTGTTTTAGTAATTTTGATCTAAATATAATAAGACTCTTCCTAATCCTCCTGAACAGGTCCTCAACCGTAACTTTTGATACTTAACATGTTTAGCAGGTTTAAAGGAAAATGTTCTATGATCGTCTTCTTGTGAAGTCATAATTGATCATTAAGACAGAACATGGATTTGAATAATATGATTGGCCGTTGCAGTCCAGAAAGATGGGAGAAAAAGGGGTTGTGTCCTGTCCTTTACTCTTACTCCTCCTCATCATCATCCTCATCATGGCAGTGGGTGATCTCCTGTGGAGCTTGAGGGAAGAAATGGGCTGACTGGATTCCGCTGATGGAATGAGTTAGCTTGCATTGTTCGCACGCCATCTTTTTAAAGTCAACATCATGGCGGTTTCGTGTGGCGAGTGGCGACTCTGTGTCATTGGCGTTGACATGCGAGTGTTCCACTGTCGACTCGTGCGGCATCTAAAGGGTAAATTTTTCGAAAATGATTTTTTTAATCAGCAGGTTATTCACGTCACGTGTCCACATGTGGATTTTCATGAAGAATACACAATATCATATTTAAAACAGATTTCTACATTAAATGTCAGCCTCTACAGATAAACGATTACATATACTGTTAGTGTTTACTATGTTCTAAAGAAAGATTTTTTTGTCCTCATTTGTTACACAAAGAAAATGATGCAATTATCTTACCAGTACGTGGGCCGCCCTGAACAGATAGCTAAAGGGGTAGTACAGCAGGTTGATGAAGGAGGCAGCATAGAGGTCAGCGTAGTGCATCACCTGTGAGGCAAACAGGGTCTGACGGGATCCACTGCGAAAGAGACTTCCCATCATGCCATAACACATGTCCATGTCATGTGTGACTTTCTAAAGAGAGCATAAAACAAACAAAACAATGTTTCATCCAAACAACAGGACTTGCTGACCAGTAACCCTGAAAAAGGAGACTCTAAAACAATCATAGGAGTGAGTTTGAGAATGCTTGTTTGCTGCAGCTTAATGAAGAGGTTGTTCAAATGTAATATGTAAAATACCAGAACAGTATCTCTGAATGAAAGACTAGTTTATTGCTTCAAGTTTATGATCATTTTAATACTTGTCTATAAACTAAATACACATTTATTCTGGAACCTCTTCTAAATCTCATTTTATTGTATATTGGTTTAGATAAACCAGAAAAAATTGAGAATAATTCCATGCTAGCTTTAAATGTTTAGATTTGTGTACGCAATGTTCAAATAAAATGTCTGCTAAAGGATATGTGCAAACAGAGATGATTATATAACTTAGGGGTAGTACCTTAGGGGTTTGATGAATTTTCAAATGACCAGTTTCTTAAAAATGTACCATGTTCATGTCTTAAAGTTGAAATTACAGCAGTCACTGGAGAATAACAATGTCCCTCTCCAGCACTTCTCATCACTGCCACATTTCAAATAAATCTTTGGCTAGTGGTTTACAACGGCTCATTTCATCATTGACAATATTATCAGCATTTATATATCTGGTAAAAGAACAGTCGACTGCCAATTGGAAGGTTGATGGTTTGTGTTGTTGATTGTGCGAATACAAGCTGTACCTTAATACGGTTCTGCAATGAGCTGACGTCAGGCCTCTCATTGCTGCTGCTATCCAGATGCCTGCAATGAAAAATGGCACAGTTCAACATATGAGGCCAACTACTGAAAAATGAACTGGAAGTTTAAGTTCAAATTTGAAATGTTGCCAGTCATTTAAATAAAAAGTTTCACATTTTTATTGTGTACTCTTTAAATCCATTTGCTATACTCAGGGCCACACAGATACAAACATCCACACACACACTCACATTAACTCCGAGGGACAATTAACCTAACATGCATGTCTTTTGAAATGATGGGAGGAAGTACCTGCAGAGAATCCACACAGACACAGGAAGAACATGCAAACTCCATTAAAAAACTAAATTAGAATAAATAAAGTAACTTGATTTGCAGTCACATATATCAAGAAAAGTTACTTACTTGTAAAGCTCTGCCAGGAAGTATTCTAATGACTGAAGTTCCTCAAAAATTGCTGGAAAAACAAAACTTGATTTAGTTTGTCAAATTTGGCAGCAGGAAGCTATATGTGTAAGTATTATAGTCAAATTTGTGGATACACCTTCCCATTATTTATTTTTTTATTGGAGGTGTCTCCAAATGTTTGACTGGGTAGATGTGTCCAAATGTTTGGCCATTACTGCAGCTCACAGCTTTTTTCTGTCCACACGTGCAGCTCTTGAGCCAGCTCAGGTATAACCAAGAAAGTTCTCCATCCCTGGCGCTTCTTCGATTTGAGAATGTCTCCAAAAATGTGGTCTCCAATGTAGAGGATGTCCTTTCCTTTAGCGCCAAGCAAGTCACAAATAATGTCTGAGGACCCTAAGAAAAAGTAAAGTAAAGTTAGAGTAAAAAGAAGCCCTATTAAAAGTTAAGTTGCAACTCACACCCTGAAACTCATCTGATTTTATTACAAAGACATAATGCTAAGTTTCAACAGTGATACTACTGGTAGAGGATGAACCATGTGCAGAATGAGGCCTTTGGGTAACATTCCCACCCTTTTATGTACTCAGACAAATGACCTGTCTGATGCTAATTCCAAACTGCTTTGCAGTTCAAACCTTGGTATGAAATATATTCCTGCAGTGGAGGAACACTTTTGGTTTAACAGGGTTTCCTCGTGACTAACTTTGGGTATCTATAAAGTTTAAATAATTGCCCACAGACAATTGCAGAAGAAAATTACCAATGTCAGTCTTTATCTACAAGGCACAACTAAATTAGTCAGAGGCTAATACAGCACCAAGAAACTAATACCAAATTAATGTCAAACTAGGTGAGATTAAGCATGTAGAGAGTACACAGAAAGGCTCCGAATTTATTAGCACACACAATAGAGAGTGATTATCAACAGTACCCAAGTTATATCTCTGTTATGTACCACACAACATGAGCAACACTTCAGGCTGGTAATAGCATATTTTCAGTTAAAATGTGAGTATTAGAGCTGGTCTGTCTTTTGTGTGTGTGGGTATGTAGGGAATATGCTGAAGGAGTCAAGGAGTGACGTGAATGTTCTCTCAGTGGAAAATAAGAAAAAGGGAAGTGACCAGGTGGCATTCAAACCACCTCAACTAACTCCTTTATAGAAAGGAGTTAGTTGAGGTAAGGAGCAATTACTATGATTTTCATCCAGATATCGTAGCTCCTCACTATATCTCTAAAGCTGAAGGAAACCCACTTCAGCTGCCAGCATTCAATACCTCATTCTTTTGGTCACTTCCAAGAACTGTGACCAAAGCAAGGGTGAGAACAAAGATGGAGTAAAAATCTGAGGGCTTCACCCTCCAGAACAGTTCCGTATTCATGACAATGAGCTGCTCACGAGGCCCCAGTCTGTCTTTCAATATCTCTCACCAACCAGACACCTGCCATAACTCATGACATCACTAACCTATCCCGGACTGGGAGAAAGTATATACATCCTTTCTCTAGTTGTGAATCACTGCCTCAGATTTTTAGTATTTCTTTTCTCAGAGACAAAGGTATAATCGAACATTTGCTTTCACTTCTACTTGAGCATAAGATGATTACCTCCAGAGTAAACAATCCCATGCTGGAGGGGTCCTGTGTAGGTTCCGATTTTGAGCTGTCCTGTTGACTGAAAAAGTCAAGAATCAATAACAAAAAAAATAAACAATATGAAGATGGATGAATCAAATGTGTGTCTGTGTGTGCATTTGTATGTGTGTGTGTGTGTGAACATGTATCAAGTATAGGCAATTACGCAATCTCAAATTAGACAACAAAAACATTTCTTAACATTTCTAAACCTCCCTGACCAAAGAGCAGGACGATGGTAAACCTCAGTACCTTAGTCCACTACTTCGTAATGTACTCATAAGCTAGTTTCTATGTTAAAAAAACACAAGGGAAAATAAACTTAAAATATAATTACAAGAAAGAACATATAGGAGAAAGAAAACAGCTAAGAGAGCCACAAAAAGGGGACTTCCGGGTCAACGTTGCAACAAGATGGCCACATAAAAACAGGCTCCTCCGTGACGGTAATTAAACTTTTCCCCCTCGCTAAATCCAGATGACTATCAAAACAACAGGCTAAACCACGTAAAGGGGGAAAATGCCGAAAACTAACAAGACCGAAAAGAAAACGACTAAAACACAAGAAAATGACGAACAGTCGGGAGATGCTAGTGGAGATGAAGCTAATGCTATCACAAGGAACGCTAGCCTTGACTCACAGCAATACTCGTTGTTGGAGGGTATCAAGACGCTTTCACAAGAATTAAAAGAATTTAAAAACGAAATGAAGCACGACATAGAAAAACTCAAAGAAGATGTCAAAGCCACAATGAAGGAAGATCTCAGCAGATTCAGGGAGGAAATGATGTGCGAGCTGCAGAACCAGAAGAGCAGTATCACCGAGGTACAGACCCGAGTAGCTGACCTGGAAGCTGCATGCTTGGAAATGAAAAATTAGTTGCTTGAGACATTAGAAAAAAACAATGCTATGAACGACAAACTTGTGGATCTGGAGAGTCGAAGCCGGAGAAATAATCTTCGTATCTATGGAGTTCCGGAAGGGAAAGAAGGTAGATCGGTCTCGGAGTTTGTCACCGATTTGCTAAATAAACAGCTGAAGCTACCAGATGGAAGTGAACTCCAGATACAGCGGGCACACCGAGCATTGGTTCCCAGACCGCCTCCCAACAAAGCCCCGAGATCTATAATTGTGAATTTTTTGCAATTGAATACCAAAGAAATGATTCTAAAGAAAGCGTGGGAACAGAAAATGGAGATGGAAGGCAAACATCTTTATTTTGATAACGATTATGATTCGGATGTCATAGAAAGACGCAAAGCATACGGCCCATTAAAGGCAGCTTTGAAACAGAAAGGTATCAGATTCCAGACGCCGTACACAAAGATGAGAATCTTCTGGGACTCTGGAGTGCGGACCTATGAGAACGTGGACGAAACAGCATCGGATATGATCAAGAGAGGCTTCGGCTTGACTTGGGTTCCAAAAGAAAACAAGCTAAGATCGGCCAAGGAGAAGCTCGACTCGCTGTTGCCATGGAAACGGATTATCAACACCGATACAGGTCAACGCGCGAGGGAGAAGCTTACTGAGTTCAGACGCGAGGACCAGTGACTGAACATCGAACCACAGGTTTGCATTATTATAAGAGCTTCTGTTACCAAAGTTATGTGCAATAGGTCTTTGTTAGATATTTAACCAAATACCGAATGGAGTAAATGTTGTAGTGTTTACCAAATGTTGGACTTATCTAGTATAAGTAGACCTCAGGCTACTACTAGAGAGGGCCCCCACCTTAGTGTGGTGTTTTGCCCTCCTCCCACCAGCAGGGACCTCGAGGGATGTCCTTACACATCTCTACCTTTGGAAGTTTCTGTTCTATTTGTTCATCTATGTTTTAATAGCTCGTTTAGTTATTTGTTGGGGGTTCTTTTTCTGATATCAAAGGGTGACCTTACTAATCCAAATAATGGTTGATAATATCAAGCTTGTTTCGTTGAATGTGAACGGTATGAACAATCCTATAAAACGCAAAAATTTTTTAACTAAAATGCGAAAAGAGAAAGCACAGGTAATTTATTTACAGGAAACACATTTGTCTAAATCAGAGCATGAAAAACTTAGGGGCTTTGGCTACTCATATACATTTTATAGCTCATTCAGACTTGGAAACAAAAGAGGAGTTTCAATTTTAATTCATGAATGAATGAATTTGACTGCAGCCATGATCTATCAGATAAAGAAGGGAGATATGTGATAGTGAAGGGGACTCTTGAAAACGTAAAGGTAACACTGGTCAATGTCCACAACCCCCCAGACATCAAAATACAATTTCTTAATAACCTCCTCAATTAAATAATTATGGAAACAGAGGGAATCCTGATCTGGGGAGGGGATTTCAATATGATATTGAACACGAAGCTTGATACAACAAACGATAAAAAACAACAAAATTTAACTACAAAAAAATTTAAACTGACACTTGAAGAGTTCGGATTTGTTGATGTCTGGAGGGAATTAAACCCTAATACAAAGGACTATACCCACTATTCTGCGCCCAATAAAAGTTATTCCAGAATTGACTATCTTTTCATGAATAAATCTGACATATACAAAGTAAAGGATTGTAAAATAGAAGAAACAAGTATATCTGATCATTCTTCCCTAACATTAAAACTAAATTTACTTTCCAGTAAACGCAAAACAACTTGGCGATTAAATGTAGGCTTGTTGAACCACAAAACAATCAAAACTGAAATTTCCAATGACATCAAAACCTACATAGAGGAGAATGACGACGGTCAGGTTAACCCAGTAATACTATGGGACGCACTTAAGGCAGTATTAAGAGGAAAGTTGATATCAAAAACTGTGGCTTTTAAAAAATCCAGAATGGAAGCCTATGAAAAAGAAAGAGTTAAATTAATAGAACTAGCGACACAACATAAATCAACCCAAAATCCCAACCTGCTTGTTAAAATAAAAGAAGTAAGAAATAACATTGATAAAATGCTTACATATGAAATTGAAAAGAAATCTAAATTTATTAGACAATCATACCATGAAGTCGGACCTAAAGGGAAAAAACTGCTGGCAAAGAAACTGAAAAAGCAACAGTCAGATAGAAATATCTATAAATTAAAAGATGGTGAAACCCATCAAATGATACACGACCCTGTAATTATTGAGGACATGTTTAGGACGTACTATCAAAGATTATACAGTCAACCTCCATCCGCCGACGATGGACAGATAGAAACCTTTTTGGATTTACTGGACTTGCCCTCAATTGGAGAAACCCAGAACAAACTTCTCACTTCTTCCATAACAAGAATAGCAATACAAAAAGCAATTAATAGGTTAAAAAACGGAAAAACACCAGGTAGTGATGGATTGCCATCTGAGTGGTACAAATCCTTTAGTGAAGATCTCCTGCCAATACTAGAAAAATAATTTAATTATACGCTGGAACATGCAGTGCTTCCTCCGTCTTGGAAAGAAGCGATCATAACAGTTATTCCAAAAAAAAAGATGAGTGAGACATGCTCTGATTATAGACCAATATCTATTCTAAACATGGATTATAAAATTTATACCTCAATACTAGCAAAACGATTTGAACAATTCATTGGAGATATCATAGATGAGGACCAAACAGGATTTATTAGAGGTCGCCAAACACGAGATAATATCAGGAGGGCACTTCACATTATAGATCATATTCAAGTTAAAAAAATAAAAGCTATTTTAATCAGTCTCGATGCAGAGAAAGCTTTCGACAGCGTAAGCTGGAACTTCTTATATAAAGCACTTGGAAAATTTGGTTTTAATGAAAAGGCCGTACAGTGCGTGAGGACCTTATACCAATCACCAGTGGCCAGAATCAAGATTAACGGAAATCTAACTGATAACATAAAACTGGAACGTTCTACACGTCAGGGTTGCTGCTTATCGCCAACACTATTTGCAATTTATATTGAACCACTGGCACAACACCTAAGACAACATAATGATCTCAAGGGCATTGATATACATAATGAATTTCATACAATAGGTTTGTTCGCGGATGATGTAATTTGTTATTTATCAAACCCTGAGAATTCACTGCCCTGTCTAATCAAACAGTTGGAGATATTTGGCTTCTACTCAGGATATAAATTAAATTTGAAAAAGACACAGGTTTTAACATTCGGTTATACACCATCAGAAACTATTCGTAGACAATACAAATTAAATTGGAATGCTACTACAATGACATATCTAGGAATACAACTAACAAAAAATGTGGATGACCTATATAAAGCAAATTTTATTAAAGTGGACCAAGAAATTAAGAGGGACATTAGAAGGTGGGATGCCCTAACACTAGATTTTAGCTCTAGAATTGAAACCATAAACACGAACGTATTACCACGGTTGTTATATCTTTTCCTGGCACTACCTATAGAAATCCCAGACAGACAGTTTAAAACATGGAACCGGATTATATCTGGATTCATATGGAACGCCAAAAAACCCAGAATAAGATTTGCAATTTTACAACTACCAAAAGACAAGGGAGGTATGGCATTACCAGACTTTAGAGAATATTACCATGCTGCTCAAATAACTCCTATAATAAATATAAGTGATATAAATTATGAAGCGAAATGGAAAAATATTGAACAAAACGTCCATGGAAGAGAATTGCAGAGTATCATTGGAGATATAGAGACCACCAAGAATACACTTGAGAAAGTTAATGCTATTACTAGGTTCTCACTGGGTAAATGGATATATATAATTCGAAAATGCAAACTAGAGGATCAATTATGTTTGGTCCAATGGCCAGCCTATAACAATTATTTTACTCAAGACCTAAGATTTAAACAATGGCTAGAAAGAGGCTTAACAGCGCTATGTGTAGTCCTTAAAGATGGGCATTTCAAAAGTTTTCAGGAACTACAACAAGAATTTGCTCTGGGAACTCAAGATCATTTTAGATATTTACAACTAAGGGATTTTTACAACAAAAAGATAAAACACAGAGTAGACCAAAGTGAAAAGGGGATTGGCAAAATGCTGGTCGAGACCTATAAGGGTAAAAAACACAGTACTGTGTCCTTAATTTATAAACATCTGTTGGAAAATAGAGGCACTAATACTCTGGATATTAAAACAAAATGGGAAAGGGAATTAGATATCATGCTAACGGAAAACGACTGGTTTAATATCTGGAAGACCCAAACTACGACATCTTCTTCCAGAATTTGTAGAGAACATTGTTGGAAGAATATAATCAGATTTTTTATAACACCCAAAATTACCAGTAAATTCAAATCTACTGTCCAACCGTGTTGGAGAAATTGTGGAGAATTTGATGCTAACCATACACATATTTTTTGGCTTTGTCCTAGAATGACACAGTTCTGGACCGAAATACACAAAGATTGTAATAATATTAGGCTACACAATACCTAAGACTGGTCTGGTTTTGTATCTTGGCCTTTTGGACGATGTTGTTCTTAATAATGACTGTTATCTGTTTAAAATTTTGTTGGTGGCTGCCAAAAAGGTAATAACTAGGAAGTGGTGCCAATCTGACCCTCCTACCAGAAAGGAATGGATACAGACTGTGAACTCATTATATGAGATGGAGATTCTAACACATAGACTGAGGACACAAGAAGAGCAATGCCAGGACAAATGGGAAAAATGGATAAACATCACATCAACGTTACAGGACTAATTTTGGATACGAACGGTACCCTTGAATCTAGTCATACTGTAAAAAGAGTCTCCCCCCACTATGTTATATTAGTTTTGTTTGTTCTGTTCTACTTTTGTTTGTTTGTCTTTTTGTAGTGTTTGATTTTTCTTTTTGAAAATATTCTAAAAATTCCAATAAAAATAAAGTAAAAAAAATAAAATAAAATAAAGAGAGCCACAAAAACTTTGCATTATGTGCCCAAACTGTCAGAAAAGGGCAAAAAGGTGTATGTATGTATGTATGTATGTATGTATGTATGTATGTATGTATGTAATTATGTATGTATGTATGTATGTATGTATGTATGTATGTATGTATGTAT